AGAAAGTCAATGACTTAGATGCCTGGTGTTATGGCCAAATTGTCCACCCAAGTTCATGTATTGAAGTCTTAGCTCCCGGTACCTCAGCACACGATTGTATTTTTAGACAAGGTTTTAAAAGAGATATTAAGTTAAAATGAGGTCCTTATGATTGGTGTTCTTTAAGAAGAATATTAGTGAGACCAACAGCTGGTGTAATGGTTATGTTGCTGGACTCCCACATGGCCAATAATGGTTAAAGTCCTGGACCAGGAAACTTGAAAATCATGCCGGGTGCATGTGCATGTGTACCCAGAATCCCAGGAGGAGAATGGAGGAGAAGGGATTGTGGTGTAGCCATCCCCTCTGCGGGGTGATTCCTTACTTTCCTTCTCACTGTCTGTCTCTCTTGAGTAAGTGCACATGCCCATGGCAAAAACTTTAAAAAATAGTAGTATTTATAAAATCAAAAACACATTTAATGTTGTTTTGACCGTTATTATTTCTAAAATGAACTCAATCAAAAATTGAATTTAAAGCCTTATGGTTGGGCTGGTCCTGTGGCCTGTGGTTAGGGAAGCCAGATCCCATGTGATTGACCTCACAGTTTGAATCCCAGACATGCCATCCTGTACCTGTTGGTTTAAAGCACCAGCTCTGCTGTAAATCAGCTTACCGTGTGTAGGTCTGTGTTGGGGCCCCCATTGGGTTTCATTGGTTCACTTGTCTCACTTATGTGGTCACACTGCAATCCCTTCTCCATTTCACCCTCCTTTCAGGATTTTGGACACACACACACACACACACACACACACACACACACAGACACATTCTGGGACTTGAACTGTTCAGCTAGCCATGTGGATCCAGTCACCTTAACCACCATGCCCCCAGCTGATCCACCCTCTTTCAATTTAAGGAGGCCATAACTGAGTTCTACGTAAAATACAGACATCTCTATAAATGTATAGCCATTTCCATGCCCAGCCTCTAAATTTCCCCATGAGATGCTTCACAAATTTTCTTTTCTGCAGCTGATGCAGAGATGCAATAGAGTATTTCTTTTTTAAAAAAGAAAATTTCTTTCATGGTAGAGCGTGTGCTTGCTCATGGTGGGGAGGGGAGAGAGACAGACAAATAAAGGGTGATGAGCACCCATCACAGATTTTGGTCACACTGTGGTCCTCTTTCTCATCTTCCCATCCATTGGATCTCAGTCACTCACATTCCTGCCTACGTGTTCCAGGCTGACTGGGCTGGGGACTCGAACCAAGGTCCTCATTGTGGAATCCTGCTTCTCTGCAGGAGTACTTTCTGCTGTGCCATGGAAATGGGCCTGCACTGGGGTATCTGCATCTATAATCGATGGCAGAGTCTAGGCACGAGACCAGGGCTTTGACTAACTGTACAGTGCTGCACCCTCCTGACATGTCTGTGTACCTGCCCCTCCCTACCCACCACCAACCTGCTTTGCAGTTAAAAACTGTGCTAGGGACCAGCAGATGGAGTAATGGTTACGTTGCTGGACTCCCACGTGGTCGACCACGGTTTGAGTCCCCACTTGGCAGCTTAAAACTCAAGCTGGGCACATGTGGATGCATGCCCAAAATTCTGAGAGGAGAATGGAGGAGAAGGGATTGTGGTGTGGCTATCCCCCCAGAGGTTTCTTGCTTTCTGTCTCTCTGGTGAGTGCACATGCCCTACAGCAAAAATCTCTTTCTAAAAACAAAGCAAAACAAAAACAAAAACAAAAAACCTGTGCTATTGTTAAGATCACTTATTTAAACCAATATGCATGATGAGAACTGGGTGTAATAGACCCCCCCAAGATTGAAAAGTACACTCATTTACTTGTATATCCTACCATGCAGATGGAGACTCATTAGCGCTTAATGAAAACAGCTCCTTGAGGGCACCGATTATGGCATCAGTGAGGCAGATTCAGGACTGAACCTTTGACAGTAAAGCAATATTTTTCTTTTGATAAGGGGGAAATTAGACATTGTTCTTTCAGAGGTTCATCACACACCCTAGCTTACAGCCCAGATAGGAGATAGAGCACTTTTTTTTTTTTCTAAAGTACGTGAAAAATAACCAGGCCGACTGCATAGGGTGGGCATGAAGGCGCCAAGGCTGAAATGCATGCTTCTCACACAAGGTCCATTTTTAACTCTAGGCACGGTTCTGCTTGAATGAATAGTGAAGAGTGTCAATAGTTTTCTCCTATTTTGTATCTGAAAAGAAACCATCCTATGAATTCTTTTTCCAGTTTAGAGGTGGTTGTTGCTGACACCAACATTTCTGACCATATTTGCCGGGCCCCTGGATGATGTGAACACTGTCGCTGTGCTGCCTTGTGGAATCGGAGGCAGCAGAGTGGGGAGGGTTAGACCAAGAGCATGGCCCCTGGCCTCAGCCTTGCTGGCTGCTCTGCCTCAGCTGTGCCATTTGGTGAGTGGGGCAAGTTATGTGACCCCTCTGTCCACTCATTAAACTCTAAGTAGGAGAAGACAGTAGTTTCATACTTTTCGAAGTTTTATTTGTTTTGTTTCTTTTTCTATCAGGTATGTATGCTTGCTACAGAGAGACAGTGAGAAGATAAGTGAGAAATCCATTCTCTTCCTGGGATTTTGGGCACACATGCATGTGCCCAGCATGATTTTCAAGCTTCCGCATGCAGGACTTGAACCATGGTCAGTTCTGTGGGAGTGCAGTGACTTAAGTACCATGCCACCTGCTGGTCCCCAGTAGTCTCATTTTATAGAGTCATCACGAGGAACAAATGAGCTAATTTTTGCAAAGCACCTAGCACTTAGTGAGTCTCATTAAAGGAGAGTTATCAGGTGTGAGAAATCTGAGCGAATGACTATGTTTGAGAAGATAGAAAAGAGAGGTAAAAAGATTAAAAATTCAGATTGAGAATTAATAGTGGAATTAGATATTCTTTGAATAGAATAAATAGAATACACTGAAAACAAACATGTACATGGTCTTATAATTTGATACATCTTGTTCAGTCATTGGAAAACAAAGAGACTTTATGTAAAGAGTTTTGAGAATTTTTTTGAAGGCATTTGCTGAAGGAGCTCAAATAATTAATGTCTTTCTATAAAAAGTATTATTGTAGCTGAAAATTTATGAAGCTAATCACTATTGATATACAAGCACATATAATAAACACCATTTAAGTATTATAATTAAGGATATAAACTGGTTTTGTCAAAAGGGAATAATGGTTTTATCATCCTCTCCCAAATATCGCCAAATAATATTTTCAAGTGATCATTGTGTAAACTCAGAAAAGACAAAGAAGACAAGAAAATTAAAAAATATGCTGTTTTATTGTCAAAAATAGACAAACTTTCATTTCCTTTAACAGGAATATTAATTTAAGAGCCTCCATAAGCCATCAGCATATTGTAAGTGAAACAGTGGAAAAGGACCGTGGTCTACATCCATGCCCAGAAGCCTTGCCTGGTCAGTGGTGGTGACTGCAAAAGCTGCAGAGACGCAGGGCCTGTCACAGCCCTGAACAATGACAGACGTGCAAAACAACATGATTTCCCCGGCCCCATCCAAAAACGTTGGCTTTGTGGTATCCTGCCAAGCATTTGAAGAGTTCAATTTGTTAGAACACTTGCTTACACAGACAGTGACATTTCGGGTCACTTCTAGGGTCAGCAACAGGGTCACATCTGTTTCTGAGTAGCATGGGGATGAAGGCACCTGTTCCTACAATGCTGGCTTCTGGCCTGTGGACCCGTGAAGCCCTGCTAATAACCTGAATGAGACTCCTGAGTCAGCTCCTATCCCTAGCCCGTAGCAAGGGTGTAAAAAAGACTTGTTGAATTGAACGGTCAAGAAGTTCAAGTCTCTCATTAATATAGAGAACAGTTGGATAATGATCTAGTTAATTGGAATAAGACAAAAAAATAAGGTCTTTTTCATTTTCTAGAGACAGGTATCCAAAGTGGAAAAAAAAAAAAAAAAGCTGAGTCTGCACTGGTTATCTGAACCCTGATTTTCATTTTCTAGTCTGTGCTATAACCCCGATTGCCATAGCCAAAGCAGGCTGGTAAAGACAGCCTTTTTAAGTGAAAGTGGTGGTGTGCAGTGGTCACCCTCAGAGACTAGGGTTAAAGAGATGAACCTTGATATCCAGAAAAGACCAGAGATGAGTGAACACTGGCACGGTGAGATGGCTCCTCTGAGATTTAGCATGTGCAGTACTAAAAGGAAGCTAGATTGCCAGAGAAATCAGGAAGACACCAGATCTGAGAACCCATTTCTCATCCCAGGCTTCGTCAGGCACTCAACAGAAGAGTAACCAACTGCGTGCCAAAAAGATCTGTTTAACATTCTCTATTTTCTTATTTAAAGACAACATTCAATACTTGAAAACTAGAAAATTGAGCTTATATTGTACAATAAAACCATTTAAACAATACTGCAGTTACAAAAATAGCAGCTCAAACGTTTGTTGCCTGTTTAAAAGAGAAGAGTGGGAGGACACATTCAATCCTTAGTGTAACATTTCTTACCATCCTACCTGGGGTTATGTTTTAATTACGCCTATCCACTTAAATAACCCTTCAAATTTGAATAAGAACTTGGTGGTGTGGGCTTCTGGAAGGTTCCATAGGCTAAGTATCATTTAGTAAGATTCTGTGACTGAAAGGATCACTTTGAGAACTTACAGGAACAAAAACATATGAAAACCAACCTGCAAGTGTAGTTTACATTAGTCTATTGAAACTAGATAGAACACTGAATGGGTTGCTTCTTCCCCTTTCTTTATTCTATTCCATTTTATTACGCAAAAAATGTAGGACCACCTGCAGGGCCTGGTGGTTAAGGCAGCTGGATTCCCTCTGGCTGACTCCATGGTTTGAATCCTGGACCTAGTGGCTTGAAAAACACACCAGGGGCATGTGTGTGTATGCCCAAAACCCCAGTTGGAAGGAGAGATGGAGGAGAAAGGATTGTGATGTGACCATGATCCATGGCAGGGGTTGGGGTGCTTTTTCTTTTCTCTTTCTCTGGCAAGGACATGCACCCTCTAGCAAAAACAAAACCAAAACCAAAAAAGTATATATGCAGAAAATGTGGTCTCTTGGGTCATTTATCAAAAGCCATGAAATCAGTCCTCCCACTGGGGTTGCTGTAAATGTGAAACATGACAAGAAGAACTAAATTCGGGGTTTCTTGCTGAGGGCATGCAGGGCAAACTACATAGGACTTTTACTGGGTCGCTGCATAGTTTTATTACCCAATCGGGGGAAAAAAAGAAAAAAAGAACTTTAAAAATGTTTTTTCCTTTTAGCATTCTTCAATGACTGTTGTTCCAATCACTGAATAAAGTTTTTTCTTAACAAGCCGAAATCCGGAACTGAGGATCAGAGTTCGCCTGAGGCCGGATGAGAAGCGGCCTCTACTAAAGAAGTCCCGGAAGCTGGTCCATGAGCAGCTCTCCTGCTTAAACACAAGAGTAAGCTCAAAGGTGGGTACCACGCTAGAGTCGCACACAATCCTATCCAGCTTTTTACATCCGTTTTCAATCTCCAAGTTCACGTGTATGACGCAGCCACGCAGGCCGCAGGGCTCCGTGGAGGAAAGCCGCAGCACGTCTTGAGCGATTCTCTGGGTCAGTTTCTCAGGGACCAGCACTTTGGAGCAACCCAGTTTGGTTTGCTTGGACTTAGACAGACAGTTCTCCAGCATCTTAACCAAATTCTGGCAAGTGGACTCCTCAAATATCACCTCGTTGAGATTGGGCTCAGGCACGACATAATCCCAGTAGTCCAAATCTGCAGGAGACAGAAGTTTTAGATAGAGAAGAAGAAGAAAAAGAAACCTAGGTGTAGGCAAAACACGCCAATGTAGCGACCTTGGTTACCTCTAACGACCGAGTCTACCTGTTTCTACTCTTTGTTTGGGAAGCTGGCTCTCGGTGCTGTTACTAGCTTGGTAATGATATTAACTAGCTAGGTAATAACGCAGCAAGTCATTTAACCTCTCAAGACCGAAAGATCATCTATGACATGAAGGTTTTGATAAATAGGGTGGGTAGGGTATAACCATTTTTCTTTAAATTTCTATGTGCACACACACTACATCTTGAAGATTGTGCATCTGAAATGTATTTGTGGTTACCCCAGGTCATCAATGGCTTTCTTTTCTTTCTTGCTTACTTGCTTTTAGAGTTTTTCTAGTTTTGCAAGCATGCTTTACTTCTGGAATGAAAACTGTTACACGTTATTTTCTCTTTTGGACTGAGGGATGGTTGCAATCTAACTTCAGGTACTCGTTTATTGTAAAGTATATTTGGCTGCTGTCCTTATGCGAGTCCATCCTAGGTTAGATGAGCTACATTAGAGGTCTGTCTAATTCGTCTCCTTCTTTAAGCACTTTTCCTGGAATGGCTTGTAGATCCTAATTTTAGCTGCGACCTCTTTGATTAAAACTTGCTCGGGGAAGAGAAGACCTTTAAGGTCCAGGATATTTATAACTGGCTGGGTAGTTTTTCTTAGCCAAGCAAAACAAAATAGTCCTAGCAAAACAAAATTAGATTTGCTCGAAGGGAAAGCGATAGCTCTGCATTTGGTCACCTACCTCCCAAATTAATCCTACTGCTTGGCAGGATGCCACACCACACACACAGTCACCCGAGCGGGGGGCCAGGCCAGCCAGCTCCCCGCCCTAAGCCTACTTCACCTTCATCTGCTACTCAGCTGGGTTTTCCTCTCTCCATTTTAGGTCTTCACTTAAGCCCTTGTCTTCTGCAACTAAATTAAACAAAGGCACTCTGAATTGTAAGGGCTCCACATTTATCTCTGTCGAAGATGGAGAATTTTAGCTTTGGCCTATAAAATTAATCCATCAACCAATGCATCTTCTGCAGGAGAAAGGCCCCCAAGGGCTTAAACTCTAACTCACATAGTTCTTTGGTGGCAACACAGTGTAACTTAGGAACTGTGTTTAAGATTGCAAATGACAGGAAGTCCCACGCCACTGCTGTGGAAATTTCCTTCTTGCATTAAAAATGGAATAATGGGTATATCCACAAACAGAATCCTACTGGGCAGTAAAAAGGAACACAGGGATAGAAGCAACAACATGAAAGGAGTTCAAAAGTTTGGGAGGAGGGGGATGACCAGATGCAAGAGTCCCTGGTGCATGATTCCACTTACATGAAACTCTAAAGGCAAAAAACAGCTTAAGTGAAAAAAAGCAGTTCAGTGAGTGGGTCCTTGGGGCAAGGAGAGAGTGGGGAACTGACGGCAAATGGGTGCATGGGAATTCTGGGGAAGGGCGCAATGATGTTGATTAACAGGTGAACACGTGTTACAACACACATAAACTTGTCCTCACAGCCATGTGGGTGAGAAGGACCGCAACCCGCAAGAGTCTACTAGCAGCAAACTAAAAAGAGGCGGCCTTCCAGTATTTCGGTTTTGCTACTTTGATTTCTCACTATCATGGACAGAAGATGCTAGAGAGTCCGGCTAGAGAGTCCTGCCGGGATCTCCTGCATCCGGGAAGGGGGCGAAGTTGCACGCCTGCCCACTGGATCTTCCCAGGGGCTGCAGCTTTGGAGGGGTGAGAGGTGTGCGGCTGGGAAACTCACCACTCAGCAGGCTCCCCGGGTGACAGCCACGGTCCAGCAACTCTGAAATGCTGGCCGGGTTCTTACTGCTCAAACTGCCAGTTGCAACCATGGTCAACGGCTCTGTTTCCCTCGCGGGGCAGAACGGCCTTTCCGGGGCGCTGGGGGAAAAAAGGAGGCGAGAAAGGCAGATTTGCACAAGCCCGAGACGTGCAGAGGTTCCTAATACGCTTCGCGTCACTGGGCCAACAAGTTCAGGCTCTCCTCTTTCCAAACGGAGGGCTGGGCCTCCAAGCCCGGTTGACAAAGTCCCAGAGGCGGAGATGCCAGCAAAGCCCCAACCTGAAACTAACTCAAAAGTTAGCAGAACTTGGAGGCGGCTGGCCCGTCGCTGCTGGCCCGGCTCCCGCCCCCGCCGCCTAGGCCTCGGCTTCGCTCACCTGCGGGGAGTTCGCGGGGGTCGGCGCGCTCGCCAGCAAGGCTTTGGGGTAAACGGAGGCAGGTACCCCCGCAGGAGCCCCTCCCCTGGGACCTCGGCAACCTGCAGAGCCCGCAGCGTCAGGCACTCGGCTCTCCCCGC